TTTTTTTTTTTTTTTTTTAGATAGAGGCATCGAAAAGATATAAAGATCATCTCCACTTTTTTAAAAATAAAATTACATGATATGATTCCTTTAATTATTCTTCATGTAAAAGTTTTAGTGTATTGATATTAAAAAAATCAATAGTTTGTATATTATTAAATATAAATTACTATTAAATATCTCAAACGAGATATTTAATATTTCATGTCAATACATGCCAGATTGAAGTATAAAAAATTTGTGTTTTTAAAAGCAGAGAAGTATCTTATTGTCTGCCCACAGAATTTATACACGTGATCATAGCGCATGCTTATATTGAATACATTTAAGATGCGTTTTTCACGTATGATGCGCATAATAATGTATCATTTTACCTTTCTTTAATATTCAATAAACAACAAGGATATAACATGCGCATCATGCGAAACGCATCTTTAATCAATATGACAGATATCTTAATCTTTTGTTTTGAATACGCATCGAATGAGTCTTAATATATTTTTATTAAGATTTGAGGCGAGGAATTAACTATTCGAAATAATTACTCAGAGAAACTCTATCCATACTGATTTATCCAATATATAATCTGTTCTTTTGTTCACTAGGGACATCTTTAAAACAATATTTAAAACATCTTAAAGCATCTTTTAAACGTCATATGCCCGCATTTGGAATGTATAATATTTTGGAATAGTTATAATAGTTTTTTTGCAATTGTTTTATGCTTGTCTACTAAGATAGGACTATTCTTCTAAATCTAAGAGTGTAATTTAATCAGCGCGAAGAAAACTTCCGAGTTGCAAACGTTGCTAAACGCAACCAATGAACGCATTTAGCTAACTCAACTGTTGAGTCCGCTGAACGCAGCCATTGTTCTCTGAGGAGTTAAGCCTATTCTACAATGCTTTTTGTTTCTTGCTTTCTACTATTTATTATATCTTGCCTTTTGTTTCTTATCCCGTTTTTCGTTTTCTGTTGCTCGAGATAAACGTTAATGAACTTCAGAAGAAACAGAAAACACATATCAAGAAATATAATTATTGATAAAACGATTATAAAGAGGAAAAAAGCAAAAGATAAAAAGCAAGAAACAAAAAACAAAGAGCACATTGTAGAACAACCATTAGGAATATTCGGAGCAAGTATGAGTAGATGTCGGTAAATCAGGATAAAATTCGAGATTTGTCGGTCTTGAATTCGGAATAGGATTGCGGGCGACATCTGCCAGCACATCTGGCAAGATCATGATCAAAATTCGCATGCCATCGGAGCGGAAAAGATTCTCTCGAGGGCTCTGCTCTCTGCTCCACTTTGTTCTGACTCCGTAATCCATACACGGTACAACTGAGTACAACTTAGTACAACTCCGTACACGATACGGAAGAACGCAGGATGGCACGCTGATAGTTGAGGCCTTTTTACATTTATTTATATTTTTCACGAACGCGCGCTCTCACAAGCAATTGTGATGGCGTCGACTTATATCAAAGATGAGACGGGTAAGGATCAGATACTCGCCATGTCGCGAAGTGTACCTATGAGGTACGCACCGGCTCTAACCTCGGTCGTGTAAACAAATGTAAAACTATAAATTTTTGCATAATAATAAATCGTTTCTTTTCCCACGTACTGTAATTAGACGATTAACCTCGTAAAATTTTCGTGTTTCGTAGCGTGTCCCCAAGCTTATTAGAATTCTTCTACTTGCATTAACTGTGTATTTTTGAAATTCAATTCAATTTTTAATTCAAAAATTTTACGGAAGTCAAGATTGAATAGTTATGATTGAAATGTGTGATTATTATTTCAGGTACGTTTATCCCAGCAAGCCAACGACCCGACGGTACATGGCGAAAGCAACGACGTGTGAAAGATGGATATATTCCTCAAGAAGAAGTTCCTTTGTAAGTAATGTTATCGTATATCGTATATGTTTTTTAATATCTTGACATTATTTACCAACACTGTTTTATTTCTATTGCATATTTCTGTTATTCCCTTTACAGATATGAAAGTAAAGGAAAGCAATTGATAAAGAAGCCTTTATATCCTGTGGGTGCCAGTCCAGAATTTATAGCAGAACATAAAGCCAAGCTAGAAGCTTTAGCGGCGAAAAACAAAGTAATACCTGGTACGCAAACAAAAACTCAAGAAGGATCCAAGAAGAAGAAAAAGAAAAATAAATCTAAAACTATGGAACCTGTTGCCGAAGGATTGTCCAAAATCATGATCTCAGAGCTTGAATTTCATAAAGAAGTTCCAACTCATACCGATAAATCATTATCTACTGCAAAGCAAATCACAACAAACAATATAACTAAAGACAATTCAAGCACATTGCAAAAAACGACAATTGAACCACAAAAGAGATTAAAAAATCTTCGTAAGAAAATTAGAGAAATAGAAGTATTAGAAGATAAAATAAAAACTGGTGCTCTGAAAAATCCTGATAAGGAGATACTTGACAAAATTGGACGGAAAATAGAGATTTCGAAAGAAATAAAAAGATTAGAAACTGCTTTATAGATCATATCGAATTAAAACTCATACAAATTTGTCAATTGCAAAATGACGCAATTGTAAAACTTAATTGATAACAATCCTATTCTATAGTAAGAGAAATCTTTGTTTCTTTCGACAGTTACATTACAGTTTTAATATTACATCTTAATTATTTTTTACTTACAATATGTAGATTGATAATATTGATATATTTATATGTATGGCAATAACATTGATTCTGATATTTGATGAAAAACTTATACATACATCTACGTATACATATATGTATATAAGAGAACTTACATGAAAGTTTTAATGAAAACAAATGGAGTTTTCACGTGATTTATGCTCTGGATGTCATAATTCAAACCAGTTAAAGAGATAAAACAAAAACAGTTTTAGATGGATTTATATTAGCGATCAAGACGATCTAAGAAATATATGTAGACATCTGTGAAAGTGTTTTAATGAGAATTATTATGCATTTAATGTGATAAGACAAACTATATCGATTTATAATATTTATAGCGAATAAATCCTAAATTATATAAAAAATTATCGCGCTTTTGTGAAGAAAATAAATGATCTCAAAATTATTATCACATAGGTTTTTATTAATAGTAATTTTATTATATAAATAAAGTATTAAAATTCGAAATCGTCTTAGACAATTAGCGCCTACATGCTCCAATATGGTCTAATCATAGCTCATTTCTCTTTGTAGAAACTCTTTATAATAGGAGCATATTGGAGCATACAACACAACCAATCTGGGTAGCGATCATGTAACTTTTTCACTAGAATGAAAAATGAAAATTTTTATGTGATGCTTACATATACACATACACACACATACATACAAAGAATGTTCACGTTCCGCCCTAGGGAAAAAGTTACATGATCGCTACTCTGATTACAACTTATACAATGTTGCCAATTCGTAGAAAATCAAATTGTGGTGCTTAGGGGTTTTGTTGCAACCAACATTATTCCCTCTTTTTTATGTAAATTGTAACCCCTCCGGCAGCCAATCGGTGTACAAAAACGTTCATATTGTTGTGATTCGTTTCGCACTTCGCTCCCCTGTTATTTGGACACGACAATTAACTGATACGGTGCTGTTGTTGCGAGGTTAGAACATGCGAGTTCTGGAAATACGTGGATCACCTTCATGAGAACAGTTATAGACAATTAGGATGTTTCGATCAACAAGGAATTTGATCATTGCGCTGCAACGTGCGAAGGATTGCCGTTTACATACGTGCAGTCAACGGTTATCGGAGGTTGCCGAATATGAATGTGAGTAATGTTGATGAGAGATTTGTGATTTTTAATAATAATCGCTTTTTAAATGTAGCTCCTATCACGGACGATTATAAAAAGGGTCCGATGGAGGGTAGGGCCCTTTACTTGGATGCTCAAGCCACTACTCCATTGGTAAGTTTGAGACATGATGTCATATGATGCAATCTATAGGTTTGTTACTATTGCATTAGACTGCATTTGAATTTTTCTTCTCATTTTCATCAAATTTCAAATATATACTTACTTCACTTTAAATACAAAAAGTACACTATAAAAAGTTCACTTATAAAAAACAAATCTCATGTACACATACAATAATATATGAAATGATAAATTACTAGGATCCCCGAGTGTTAGATAAAATGATGCCGTATCTGACAGTATACCATGGTAATCCACATTCCAGAACTCATATGTATGGTTGGGAATCAGAAGCAGCAGTTGAGCATGCTCGTCAGGTTGATATTTTAAATTTACAAATTCTTCTATATTATATGACTGTTAAATCTGAAAGATTACTTGTCTTTTTTTAATAGCAAGTCGCAGATCTAATAGGAGCGGACAAGAAGGAAGTGATATTTACATCTGGGGCAACAGAATGTAATAATATTGTTGTAAAAGGTGTAGCCAGGTTCTACAAATCCAAGAAAACTCATATTGTGACAACCCAGACAGTGAGAAATTTTTATAATAAGTTTTAATTTTTTTTCTTAAATCTACAATTAGCTGTTTTTATCTAGGAACACAAGTGCGTACTGGATTCATGTAGAGCCCTGGAAGCTGAAGGATTTGATGTAACATACATTTCTGTAAAATCAAATGGTCTTATTGACCTCAATGAACTGGAAGCAGCCATTAGGCCATCTACATCACTAGTTTCTGTAATGATGGTAAATAATGAGATTGGCGTTAAACAGCCTATTGAAGAAATTGGTACCATTTGTAGGTGAGCATCAAGATTTTA